GAGTGTATGGTTGAGTCAGAACTGACCCATAGCAGACGCTGGGTGGGTTTTCAGAGGCCATTAATCGCAAGGGAGGACATTGCCCATCCTGCTCCTGTGGCACAGCTAGTGGCCTCAAACTATATACCTTCAGGATCGCAGCACAACTTCTTGCCATTAGGCCACCACAGCTTAGTCTTTAATCTGATACCCTTGCTCTTTAGCACTTTAAAGAAGCCTTTAACAACAGATTTTCCTGGTGCAATGTATCTTTTTGATATCTTGACTGCCACTAACTATGAACTTTGATAAATGTCGATAGTTGTAAAGGGGCTTCAGTTCAGTCTTTTGTTCATAGCGTCACTATGAGTTGTGCTCGACATGAAGACAGTCAACAACAACAGCAAATATGAGTGTGATTGTGGGTGCAAGTAAAATGAAATAGCTGACCATTTCAACCCTTACTCCATCTATCATGATGTTGCCTGTTGGTCCAGTGGGGTGGGTTTTTGTTTTCTTTATGTTGAGATGTAATCCACGTATAGTCTATGATCTTCTCTAGTGAGAACTTCTTTTTTTGTAATTTTTTTTTAAAAAAATTTTTGTTTTGTGTGTGTGTACCGTCAAATCAGATCTGACTGACTGGTACAGGAGGATATTGCGCCTCCTTCTCTGGTAGAGCATCTGGTGGATTACGAACCCTGTGCCTCTGGGATTGCAGTGCAGCTTCTTGCCACTAGGCCACCAGAGCTCCCCTAGTGAGAACTTCTAACCTGAGCGTCTTATTTGCCAGCACTGTATCAGTCTTCCTCTGCTCTTCATATAATTGTGAGGACTTGTTATTTCAGCAGTGGACGCCCCATCCTGCTTCTCACTCAGTCTGGAAGCTCTGTTGAAACCTGTCCACCATGGGTGACCCAGCTGGCATTTGAGATACTAGAGGAATTGCTTCCAGCATCACAGCAACAGGCAGGCACCAGTATGACAATATGACAGACTAGTTGTGGATAATAAAAATATATAAAACTAAGTTTCCTCTTCTCTAGAGTATTTTGACTGCTTGCGAATTTCAAGTAAATTTTTTTCTTTATTCCCTGAGGATGGAGATTATATATACATATGTATATATGTTTGCATGTATGTGTATATATATATACACACACACACACATACATATATACATATGTATATATATGTGTGTGTGTGTGTGTGTATATATATATATATAAATGTGTGCTGAGCTACTGACTAAAAAGTTCAAATCTACTTTGTGGTACCATGAAAGAAAGGCCTGGCAAACTGCTTCACAGGAGTAAAAACTACACTGAGATGGAGGCTGGGCCAGAAACCAACGCAGAGGCCGTCAGCAACAACAAAAACCACATGATCAAACGTTTTGCTACTTTGGAGAAGCTGATATTTGTTGTCAGTTCATCTTTTTGAAGGAAATAAAAAAGGATTGAAAAAAAGTGTTTCCCAACATAGAACAACACAGAGCCTGTCTACAGAATTAGTCAAGTTTGGACACTAAAATCAGACTGTTTATTTTTATCAGATCAGCTCACTTTTGGCCCAAACCCATTTTTACGTTATGATTTGTACCTTGGAAGGTTGACTGTTCAATTTGCCTTATTGATCTATTCCTGAACGCGCCCGATCTCGTCTGATCTATTGTTTCTAATCGAAGTGCTGTGTTTTGAGCGGGTGTCACAAAATAAATGGTGTAGCACTGCCACCAAATGGTGGTCATTCGCATCGCAGCGCTTGCCATTGCACTTTTTCCTTCCCAAGCTCAAACCAGTGGTTTGCAGTTCTGTGGATGTGCCTTATCCAAAAGAGAAAAGTTCTGATGGTGTAGTGCATAACGTGTCAGGCTGCTAGTAGAAAGTTTAATAGTTTGAATCCACCAGCTGTCCCATGGGGAGATTGAGAGTAGTAGCTCCCTGTAAACATGTGAGCACAGGCCATCTGGTGGTAGATCCACTGTCTGGATTGACTCAGTACCAGTGGATTTGGTTTATCCCAAAGAAAGAGTTTTTTTAGAAAGTTTAGTATTTTTATTAAAACATATATATTGTTGTTGTTGTTAAGTGCTGTTGAGTTGTAGACTACTCATGGTGTACCTGTGAATGAAAGAACTGAACACTTGTATAACTTTCATCGTTTCTCTAAGTTCATAGGGTTTCCGGAGTCA